GAAAGAAGGTATAAATTATTATATTATAAAAATATTAAAAATTAAATTAAAGGAATTGATAAGGTTTTGAGAAGTTGTGGTTAATAAATAATAGAGATAGGAAGAAAAGAATGAGATAATAAAATTTAGTGATAAATAAATTCACTAAGGGAGGGGAAAAAATAAAGAAAGAGTTATTTATAAGGATAGGATATTATAAGTAGGTTAGGATAAGAATATTTAAATATTTGAATATACTTGGTTATCTTCTTAATTATTGGTTATGAAAGAAAAATATGAGTATAAAAAATTGTGATGTAAGTACTAACAAAAATTGTGAGTATGTTCAAAATAAATATATAAGTTAAGTATCCTGTAGAGGAAAATTACATTAATGTGTAATTGATAATACGAGATAACATTGATATGGTAATCTAAATAATAAAGAAAGGTTTAAGTGAAATAAAAAGTTAGGCTGAATCTTGAGAAATGAAGAGACATTGAAATTTGAATTATTTTTTTATTCACATCATTTATTTCATTCATATTCAGAAAGTTGAGGGAATATTGTTTATATCAATTTAACATCATCCATTTTTCCGCAGAAGATTTTTCCAGCCCAAAAATATTTCCATCTGTTTGTATAAAATATTAAAAAAATCAACAAACAAAAAAAATAAAAATAAATACGTACCGATGACATGACGTAGCGATGACATAGTGAGGACATCGGAAAATTATAATATAGATAGATATTCTTATGAGATATTTTATGTTTAATTATGTAAATTATAGATGATTATATTCGTGAAAAAAATATTATCCTAATTTTCATATATTTTTTTTGATTCGTTAAAATATTTGTACTTTATTTTATTGTTCTAATTTATGATTTTACCTTGCATTTAGTGTTGTTAAACGGCTAAATTTGAGCCAATTTTTAAATACGGCTAACTCAATATTTTATCCAGAAAAATATTGCAAGCCTAAAAATTTTGCTCATAGATGGCACATAGGATTGAACATCTATTGGCGAAATCTCGACGTTTAGGCAATATTTACCTGGCTATAATGTTGAGTTAGCCGTTTTTAAGAATCGGCTCAAATCGAGCCGTTTAACAACACTAGTTGCATTTAAATTTGTATCATTATGAAATAAATGATTATATGATTTATTACTAACAATGGTTCAACATCTCATTACGACATCTAAAAAAATCATATATTCAAATATATCGTATCTTCTCGAATTCAAATTACGGGCAAACGTCCATAAATGACAATCACAAACTTAAGCACAACAGAAATAAAGGTTTAAGCTTGAGGAGGCTAGATATGTTTGTAACCGATATCAAGGTTAGCAACCTAAAAATACATTACCGTTGTTAATCTGTAAAAATTGAAAGGAACTTCCAACCAAAGGTAAATTTGAATTCTTTTGTAAGTATGAAACAACAGGATATTTAAGATAAATTTGAATCCTAGACATCTAAATCCAGGCAGAATTCTTCAGGAAAACATATATAGCTGTCGATAATAAGGATGATATATAAACGAGTAATGAATTGTGTAATGGTTACCGAATTGCAAGATAATATTGGATAGTTATTATCGAGCCAATTTTAATGAGAGGTGGGATATTTCCTCTATTTCTAAGCAGGATGCGGAATATCGGTATGAGTTATGCAGAGGATGTATGTAAAGTTGGTGGGTTGAAAAAATATGTTGCTAATTGTGATCTTTCAATCATTATTTTTTCGGAAATTTCAAAAATGTAAATCTACGGCTTTAAATGATCACAATATCAAAACTGAATATATAGAACAAATCAGAAATAATTCTCATAAATTTATCAATCATACTAACAACTTATCCTCAGACACACTATGGGAAAATACCCGTGACATTTTCAACAATGCGGCATCAAATTCCATACCAGCCAAGATGAATTATCCGGACTGGATCTCAATAGAATCAAAAAATCTTATTTCAAATCTAGTGGGGAGTGGTCATTATAGGAGAAACAGAGCCATGTATATCCTAAACGATATTAGTCATAAACTCAGAAGAGATAAGAGGAAATTCCTTGAGGATCGTGCCACTGAGATAAGTAATTCGTTCAGTGCAAATGATTCATATAAAGCTTTTAAATTATTGAAATCCTTCACTTCCTTCAAAAAAGAGCAATTTTTTAAACTTAGTCACAATGCAAAAGAAATCACAGATCCAGAGATACAAATGGAAATATGGGTTTCACATTATTCTAAAATATTTAATAGCAACGAACCCTCCTCTACATCAAATAATTGCAACGAACCCTCCTCTACATCAAATAACCAAATAGTAATATCTCCCATTGATCAATGTCCATCTACCTCAAGTTTCTGGCCTCCAAATCCGCTAAACCGTGGACTTCCCCAATTTCTTCCCGCTCAAAATTCTTATATCTCAAATCCTTTATCTAATTCTACATACAACTCAAATTTAGAATCTCCCATTGTCCAAAATGCATCTTCCTCAAACTCCTGGCCTCCTCAGCAGAACCCTACTAAATGGCCTTCGGATCTATGCCCTCAAAACTCCTCTTCTTATAATCTCTTGCCATCTAAATTATTACATTTACCAAACCAAAGTGAGTCTTCCATTCATCATGGTCCATCCACTTCGTACCTCTGGTCCCCACAATTATTTCTCCCTCAAGATAATACCCATAATACTACATCTTTATCTACACATTCTTCCCCCTCTACCTTATTCCAAAATACAGATAGAATCATAGATCCAGTCAAGAGTGAAATAATAAATATAATAAAGAAACTAAAAAATCACAAGGCGTGTGGTCAAGATAATATTCGTAGTGAATATTTAAAAACGGACCCTATATTATCCGCCGATATACTATTCCCTATCATATCGAGAGTATGGAAGGAAGGGATATGCCCTAGTGATTGGCTATCAGCTATACTAATTAATTTTCCAAAAACTAAGTACCCTAAAACTCTAGAGGATTGGAGAGGAATCTCACTAAATTCTATAGTTTATAAGATTTTCACTAACTTAATCTTAAATCGACTCAAACCCTTTATAGAACGAGATTATGTGGATTCTATAGTTTCATTTAGAAAGGGACATAATGCTCTTGAAGCTATTCTCAACTTAAAGATACAAATGGAGAAATCTATAATACGAAAAAGGCAATTAATAATTATTGCTCTTGATTTTAAGAAAGCTTTTGATACGATTAATCATGATAGGTTATGGATAGCATTAGAAGAAGTTAATACTCCAACTTCATTGGTAAAAATATTAAAAAATATCTATAACGATTACTCGATACAAATTATCCATGCGGGTCATAAATCAACAAAAATACCAGTTAAGATAGGTTTGAAACAGGGATGTGTCCTTTCTCCTCTTCTTTTTAATTTTATTACAAACTATATCATAAAAAGAGTGACTAAACAATGTTTAGCTCAGATTCCCATCGTGAAATTTAATATTCTTGCTTTTGCCGATGATATTTGTATTATAGGAGATTCTATATCACACCTCCAATTGCTAGTGGACATGATGACCCAAGTTGCTGACCTTTTTGGTTTAAAAATAAATATTGATAAAACAAAGTTGATGACATCAATATTCTCCCCTACAAACATAAATCTAACGATACAAGGGGAAAAAATAGCAGAAGTTCAACAACTAAAATATCTAGGAGTGATACTAGATAGAAAAGGAAATACAAAGCTAGACCTAATAGCTAAAATAAATAAAGGCAGACAGAAATATAGATCCTTTATGAAAATATGGAGTTCGAATCAATTATCAATTCCGTTAAAGATTCGATTATTTAAAACTTTAATATTCCCCTCCCTAATCTATGGTATAGAAACTTGGAAAGATACCAAACAAGAAAGTAAAAAGATGCAAGCGTTCATTAACAAATGTCTTCGATATATTACCAAAACTTTCTACCCGTATAATACTTCAAATCATAATCTTTGGTCCAGATGTGACATTCTCCCTATATATAGACTATGTGAATATAGGAAATTCGAAATATTAGGGCACATTCTCAGACAAGCCCCAAACAACCTAGTATATCAAGCCCTTTTTATTACCCCTTTAGAAGAATTATCTCTCAAACCTTTCCTATCCTACAAAAATAGTTGGTTTGGTAGAATAATTCGATCATTATCGGACATAGATCTATCTTGGGAATTCATAAAACGTGCTTCGTTAGATAGGAAAACTTACAAAATCGTTTTAAGACTTATTTACGAACACTTGACGAATAACTGCTGAGAATGTAACAAGTAAAGATGATGATTAAATTAAATTAAATTTGGTTTATTATTTAAATATATAATTCCATATATTACTTTGATATAACAATGAAAGTTGAGTAAGTAAAGTTATGTTAATACTAAAAATACAATTTCTTATATTGCTTTGATATATATCTAAGAGTTGAAGTAATTGAATAGGGCTATAGTAAATGAAGGCAGATTAAATTAGTGCACATTGTAAGATAATTTCTAATAGATTACATTACATTATGAGATTTAAGGTCAAATAGATTAAATAGATAGATATTTTAAACTAAATAATTATAAAAATTAAATATAATTATATTGTCTAACTAATAATTGGGAACAAATTGTAAATAAACTAAATAAATTTAATAATCATAATAATAATAAAAATTAAGACTAACTATAAAAAAATAATGTTAGATAATTAACTAATGACTAATAATTTGTATTGGATGATACAGTACTACTATTTTTTTCCTTTTAAATATGCTCATAATCTTATTCACTATGCTATTATTATTATTATTGGATTGGGTGAGTTCCACTCCTCTTAATAATTATATCTGGGTTACAAGGTTTGTTGGTATCCTTGAGGAAAAAAATCGGCATAATTATTATGGAGGATAGGGCCTCTATAGTAATTCACGTTCGCTCATTTTGGGCAGGTCCATGACCAACGTGCTAGATAAGATAAGATAAGAAGATAAGCAACCTGTTAACATGCTTTCAAATCCAGAAATATTAAGATATAGCAGACATTTGTTGTTACCTCAAGTAGGAATTGAAGGCAATATATATTTTATCGTATCTACAAATATATTTAATAAACCAGGTCAAATAGCATTAAAAAATGCCCATATATTGATAATAGGAGCAGGAGGGTTAGGTTGTTCAGCTATATTATATTTATCAGCAGCAGGAATTGGTTTTTTCATTATTTAAATATATTTAATATAAATATATTTAAAGGAAAGCTAACTATAGTTGATGATGATAAAATATCTATTGAAAATTTACATAGACAAATTTTATATACACAAAATGATGTTGGTTATTTTAAATCTGATTTTGCTAAAAAAATGGCTATATCTCGGAATCCTCAAATATATTGTCAAAATTTGACTGAGAGACTTACATATGAGAATGCATTAAATATATTAAATTTAAACTTTAATGATAATAACTTAGTAAGTCATACTCACTTAACTTCTGACTTTAGTTTAATTATTGATGCAACTGATAATGTTGAAACTAGATATTTAATTAATGACTTAGCATTGTTTTTAAATATTCCTTGGATATATGGTAGTGCTATTGGATTTGAAGGCCATATGTCAACTTTTAACTACCATTCATCAGATAAAGATAAATCATTGTGTTACAAATGCCTTTTCCCTGTACCTCCACCATTATTTACTATCTCCAATTGCAATGAAATAGGTGTTTTTGGTAATATAAAAGTAATATATATTAAATTATATAAATATATGTCTTATTTAGGTGCTTTACCAGGTATTATTGGAATGTTTCAAGCATTAGAAGCTCAAAAGATTTTAATACCTACATTGTCTCCTTCCTATAATGGAAAGCTATTAATTTTTGATTCTTTATCAAATACTGGATGTTTTAAAGAAATACAATTACGAAATAAAAATCATGAATGTTCATCTTGTAACCAAAAAATGGACAAGACTAGATTTATTGAGTCAGGGCACATGTATAATGAACTTATAGTAAAAAATTGCAGTATTGAATCAAATAATTCAAATAAGAATCACATTTCAGTATATGACTTTGTGCAATTTCTTCGTGTGCATTCAAACACTTGCTATAGTGTGATAGATGTTAGAGAGAAACATGAACTAAAAATTTGTAAATTGTCAAATTATAATACAAATTCAATTTTAACACTTTCAAATCCCTTGAAAGTAAGGAATAATGATTGCATCAATCTTTGTTATGATAGCAATCTTAATTTTTCAAGTAAATTAATTTCACTAAAATAAATGAATAATTTTTAATGATATCCATTTATTTCATTATTGTTAGATAAATGATCGAAAATTTTATGGATTATAATATCATTTGCTTATCCTAGGCCAGGTCATAGAATGTTCATAATTCTAAAAATCTAAGCTAGGCCTCAACTTAAAAAATATGAGTAGATTCATGCAATTAAAAAGTCCAGGTAGGTAATGATAAATTTGAAGTACAGGGTTCATGATCAGGGTTGCCAGCAGGGCTGCCATGTCTCCCCCCATCAGTGGGAGTCTCCCACAATTTTTTAGTTTACCCACATACATCTCACTCCCACAAAACTCCCACAATTAGAAATCTCCCACAAAAAGCTCCCACAATTTTTTAATTTCTCCCACAATTTTTTTTTAGCATCTTAATGTTTTTAATATATAAATAATAATTTTGAGAGACAGTATTTGATTATTTTTATATTTTTAAAATAAATTTTAAATATTTATTCAAAAAATATGTCTAGTTCTTTTATTTTATTTTTCCGCTCTAAAATATATTTTTTATATAATTCTCCAATTCTCCACTCGACATTTTCAAAATTTTTGTGTTAGAAAGAATAGAAGTTAGAACAGTATGTATAATTATTATAAATATATTTTAAATTATTTAATATATTTTATATCGTTATCTAGAATTGCAGTGCTCCACTTGACATTTTCAAAATTTTTGTGTTAGAAGAATAGAACTTTTAGAAGTGGATATTATTCTAATCAAATCAAAGTGTATTTACCGAATTGAGGCAGCACAATAATGAATTAATACCAATTGGCTGTATATACCATATACTGCATAATTCTTGCAAGAAGGCAATGAATGTACTATCTGTAGATGTCGAAGTAATTGTGATGAAATGTTTTAACGAATTTAGTTCATAAACAGAGTCACTGAATTAAAAGAATTGGTGGAGTGGTCTAATTTGGAATGGTGTGAGTTGTTGCGATATGTACTTATCAGGTGGTTATCATTAATACCTGCCATCGAGAGAATTTTATTTTACGAACCCTTAAAGAAATACTTCTTAAATAAAGATTTTAAAAGCTGTCCTAAAATTTTGAAAAATTTTTTCGAGGATGAAATGTCAGAAGCATATTTGGGATTAGTTTCACATGTAGGAAATCTACTTCATGTAGTTAATATTCAGTTGCAATCAGAAGATTCTTTATTGATAAAGATTCACAAAATCATGCTACAGCTCTGTTCATCTCTACAGTTAAAAATAGTAATAAATTTTATGGCTCTATTGCTAAAAATATCATATTAAAATGTTCAAATATGACTATAATTAACGTATTTTTAAATGAAGCAAATATTTTTATTAAGACAATTTTGGAAAACTCTATTTAAAAGTGTATAAATATTATGACATTGGAACAGAAACCATCATTTGATGGTTTTTGTAATTTAATAAATATATTAAAATTACCGATAGACATTGAAGCCTTGTTTGAAGAGATTGTAATTTTTTCCATTTTTTATGATTCGCCAGAATGCTTAAAGTTAGATGGTCTAAAAGCAGAGAAGAAATGGGGGGAATTTTTTCGTAATAATAATAAATCCCCATGCTTGGAAAAGATTTGCGATTATGTTTTCTCCTTACCTCATTCTAATGCCTCATCGGAGCGCATTTTTAGCCTGATGAGGACTGCCTGGAGAAAGGAAAGAAATCGAATTGCTTTAACAACATTAGAGGCTGAGTTAATGGTTAAACAAAATTATAAAATGTCATGCCAGGAATTTTATAAATATCTTAATAACGACGGTAAAGTTTAGTTCCATTATTTAAATCTCAAATAAAATATAATTAACTATAACTATTTGACTTTCTATATTTTATAAAATCTTATTTATACATTTGCATAAAATCAAATAAATTTATTTTTTACATTGTAAAATTAATATTTTGAATATTTTGGCAAATCATAAAAATAAAGAAGCATTACAATCTCCTCAAACATGACATCATATTAAATCTTATTAATAATTATCCGATAATAGTAATAATATTCTTACTTTGGTATTTCTGCAGCATAATTTAGTGAACCTTTATTAAATTATATTCTTCTGATTGCAATTGCATATTAACAGCATATAGTAGATTTCCTATATGTAAAATTCCTAAATATACTTCTGCCATTTATTTTTGAAAATTTTTTTCAAAATATTAGGACAGCTTTTATTATCTATTTATTTTTTAAAGGTTTGTAAAATTTTAAATTCTACGATGGCGCGTATTAGGAGGAACCTGTCAACCAACATTATGCTGACTCAATTCTGTAAATACACTCTGGTTTTTGCCAAATTCACTGAGGAATTATCAGATCAGAAAGCTGCCATGCAATTCATTGGTAATGCCAAATCTGTCATATTTACCATTATATATGGTTAGCTATGTCTTTGGATATTTCATATCTGGAGAAAAATTTTATAATAGTTTTATTGAAATGACATTAATTTTGTTGAAATAGGGGAGGATCAAGGGAAATGTTTTGATATCTCCTTATTAGATGCATCTGTTAGAATTGAATATGTTTGCACATCTTTCAAATCGTCAAAAATTGACCTTCTGGATTTATATCCTAAAACATTGATGATAACCTTGCTCATTTGTGTTCTACAAAGTATAATTTTCATTTATATTAGTCGTTAAATATTATGGGGAAAGATTCTACCAACATTGTGATGTTAAGTAGCTCTCTGAATGTTGTACTACATGATAGTTATTTACCATTTCCGCAACTGTAGTTGCATCTGTATTATTTCTTATTTTTGAAGAATATTTTTGTTTTGCAATAGATGTTGATAGACTGCCCTGTACTGATTTATGCTTTGAAAATTTTTGATGCCTCAAAATATCATATTCCCTTCCCTCATTGTATTAACTAAATACTGTAGAACAACTTCCCCGCACTGATTATAATTATTTTTAACATTGTAAATTTAAAATTGTTTGTTTTTTTATAAAATCTTATTTATACATTAGCATAAAATATATTTTTTTACATTGTAAAATTACAATTTTTTTATAAAATTTTATCTTGTTTACATTCTTTTGTATTTAAAAAAGATCGTTGGTTATTATTTTTAAACAAAATTAATATATTATAATAAATCAATATGTTATTTTAATAATAAAGATAGTATTTAAGAAATTTTGTGTCATACTATAATTACCTATTTTGAAAAATAGTTGCGTATTTTATTTTGGAAAATAGTTACCTATTTTATTTTGAAAAAGAGTTGGATATTTTATTTTGAAAAATAGTTGGCTATTTTATTTTGAAAAATATTTGGCTATTTTATTTTAAATAGTTGGCTATTTTATTTTGAAAAATAGTTGGCTATTTTATTTTAAAAAATAATTACCTATTTTATTTTTGGAAATAGATTCGATTTTATATTTATAAAAAATAATAAGCGGATAGGCCCGCAAATTTTTTTTTTAGCAATTTTCATATTTCTCCCACAATTTTTATATTACTCCCACATAATACAGAATTTCTCCCAAAATTTTCAAATTGCGGGAGAGATATAAAAATTGCAGTAGAAATATAAAAATTGCTAAAAAAAAATTTGAATTGATTTAATTATCCGCCTATTATTTTTTATTTAGTTATTAATTTATAAAAAAAAACCAATGATCTTTTTTAAATATAAAAGAATGTTAACAAGATAAAATTTTATAAAAAAAACGATTTTAATTTTTCAATTAAAAATATATTTTATGTGAATGTCCCGTAAAACGACCGCAATTGGAAATCTACCATGTGTGTGTATAACATTATAGGGATAGGCACTTAATTATCACGTATCACTTTAAATACAAAATAAGGTACTCCAAAAATAAGAAATAATATAGATGAAACTACAGTTGCGGTAATTGTAATCACTTATCTTGTAGTACAACATTCACAGAGATACTTATCATCACAATGTTGGTAGAATCTTTTCCCATAATATTTAACGACTCTAATATAAATGATAGAACAAATGAGCAAGGCTATCATCAATGTTTTAGGACCTAAATCCAGGAGGTCAATTCTTGACGATTTGAAAAATGGGCATACATAAGCAATTCTAACAGATGATCTAATAAGGTATTAAAATATTTCCCTTGATCCTCCGCTATTTCATCAAAATTAAGGTCGTTTCAATAAAACTATTAAATTTTTTCCCCTCAAATAGTGAAAAATCCAAAGACATAGCTAACCATATAATGGTAAATATAGAAGATTCGAGATTAACAATAAATTGCATGTCACCTTTCTGATCTGATAATGCCTCAGTAAATTTGGTAGAAACAGAGTGTATTTACAGAATTAAGTCAACACAATGTTGGTTGCGATATGTTCCTAATACCCGCCATCGGAATTTTAAAATTTTATAAACCTTTAAAAAAATATTTCTTAAATAAAGATTAAAAAAGCTGTCCTAATATTTTGAAATTTTTTTCAATAATGAATAGAGGTATATTTACAAATGATTTCACATGTAGGAAATCTATTACATGCTGTTAATGTGTAGTTGCAATCAGTAGAATCTTAACAAAGATTCACAAAATTATGCTGCAGATGTGCTCATCTTTACAATTAAAATTTGACAATAAATTTTATGGCGTCATTGCTAAAATTTAATTATATTTTATTTGAGATTTTAATATATTTATTAAATTATAAAAACCATCAATTGATGATTTCTGTTTCAATGTCATAATATTTATACAATTAAAATCAAATTTTGATTGTATTCTAAATTTGTCTTAATATCTGCTTCATTTAAAAATGTATTAATTAAAGTATTATTTGAACATTTTAATATAATATTTTTTGCAATAGCGCCATAAAATTTATTATCAATTTTTAATTGTAGAGATGAACAGAGCTGTATCATGATCTTGTGAATCTTTTTTATAAAGAATATTCTGATTGCAACTGAATATTAACTGCATGAAGTAGATTTCCTACATGTGAAACGAATCCCAAATATGCTTCTACCATTTCATACTCGAAAAATTTTTTCAAAATGAACAGCTTTTAAAATCCTTATTTAAGAAAAGTATTTTTTTAAGGGTTTGTAAAATTTTAAAATTCTATCGATGGCAGGTATTAAAGACAATCTGATAGGTATATATCGCAACAACTCACACCATTCCAAGTCAGACCACTTCACCAGTCTTTTAATTCATTAACAGTTGATGACTAAATTTGTTAAAACATTTCATCACAATTATATGGACATCCACAGATAGTACATTTATTGCCTTCTTGCAAGAATTATGTAGTATATGGCATATACAGCCAATTGGTATTAATTCATTATTGTGCTGCCTCAATTTGGTAACTTTAGTTTTTGCCAAATTTACAGAGGCAATATCAGCGCAGAAAGCTGTCATGCAAATCATTGATAAACCTGAATCAGCTATATTTACCATTATGTGGCTAGCTACATCGTTGGATTTTTTACTATCCGAGGAAAAAATTTTTAACAGTTTTATGGAAATGTTCATATTCTTGTTGAAATAGCGAAGGATCAAGGAAAATGTTTTAATATTTCCCTTATTATATGCATCTGTCAGAATTGAATATGGATGCCCATTTTTCAAATGGTCTAGAATTGACCTATAGGATTCAGGTACTAAAACACTTGTGATAGCCTTGCTCATTTTTGTTCTGCCACAAGTAAGGTTTGCACTTATATTGGAGTCGTTAAATATCATGAGAAAAAGATATGACCCACATTGTGATGATATAGCTCTGTGAATGTTTAACTACATGATAGATGAAGTAGTTGCATCTATATTATTTATTAATTGAGAATATTTTTGTATTGCAATCGATGTTGATATACTCCCTTGTACTGACTTATATGAATGAAATGATGTTGATTTATTATTGGATAAAAATAAAACAGGATAGAAAGAAATTTACAAACAAGACATTTTTCGAATAAATATTTAAAATTATTTTAAAATAAAAATCATCAATTAATGTCTCTCAAAATTATTATTTATATATTAAAAATGTTAAAATACTTTTAAAAAAAAATGCGGGAGAAATTAAAAAATTGCGGGAGATTTCCAATTGCGGTAGTTTTGCAGGAGAGAGATGTCTGCGTATAAACTAAAAAATTACGGGAGTCTCCCGCTGATGGGGGGAGACATGGCAACCCTGTTCATGATGAAGGAATGAGGGTAGTTATAGGATTAGGTATGCCGACTAGCTCTGAGTTAAGATTAGGAGATGTTTCTTTGACAATTTCAATAGAGAGAGGAATCACTAAAAATAAGAGGACCTAAAATAAAAAAGCACATGAATAAATTTTTTGAAAGAGATTAATTTTTTCCTATTGATATCTCAGAACCTATTAGTTCTAGAAAGCTAAAATTCTATATCTACTAATGATGTTTTCTCAATATTTATCCAAAATTAAAAGGAAGTTAAAAAGTTATTTATTTTATATGGAATAACCTAGATCAAGCTTTAAAAAAAATTCACCAGGTCTAAAAATTTGAACTGCAGATCTTTCGAAATGTAGGGGTAAGTAATATTAATATTTTCCTTATTTATTTGATTTGAACCAAATAATTTTATCATTCATATTCGTAAAATACAAATCGAATAATTCGTTTTAAGTTAATTTGGTAGAAAATAAAGCGACCATTTTAATTAATTTTTTCTAAATTTAACCTTTCCCTCCAATTTTTTTAAATAATATTTACAAAAAAATAATATGAAAAAATTTCCCCACGATTCAATGAGTTACCAAGTATCTTTATAAGACATGGGCTGTAATTTTTATAATTTTTTTAAAATTGATAATTTGCCAAATAAATAATCGTTTTCCTTTATATAAAAAAGTTTACTGGTGAAGCCAGACAACTTGTACAAAATATTTCTTTGCTATTTAGAATGGATAAAAATATTTAAGTGTAAGACCAAAAACGACAAATTTCGACGGGCTTGGCCCTTTCCGAAATCAAACAACTATATTGAAAAATATATTGTTAGCACAAGATGGACCAAAAGGGACCGATTTATGGACAACATATCGAACCCAGAGTAATACGGACCCGGGCCTTGTTTAAAGCCCTTTCAGAAAATCGGTTTTTACTTAAGTTTCTAGTTCTGCTAAATGGAGTTTAAAGTTTGTAAACTCTTAATTAGGGTTCAGCCCTGAATACTAACAATAAAAAAAATATATAATTTATAAGATATCCCCTTTTCCGCCATCACGAGGAGCACGTATTCACGGAATGATAATGAAGATTTAATAAGCGACGACATGATTGCAAATATTAGAAATAACGTCTGTACAATCGAGCCGAATCATCCTTATAAAAGTTTTAAAATTTTATTTTAATATTACAAAATAAAATATAGCAATATTTTAAATGAAATAAGTTTTCGATATTATGTTGATCGTTAAATTTTAAGAGACATTTGGAAAAGGCGAATTATATTAAAAAAATTTGACAGGTAAGGAAAAAAAATTTCGTTAGTTTTATATAATCAAATCTGTTAATATCCAATTAAAAGAATATTCATTCGAAGGAAATTTTTAATTGGATAAAATGTATAATTTAATTTTTTTATTAAAATAGGTAACTAGGGAATAAGATAAAAGGTTAGAGATATGAATTGTTGAGGTTTTAAGGTTTAAGACATATGTATTAAAAATATTTTTAAATTTTTTTAAAATCATTATTGATAACTTGTCAAATCTGACATATCATTATTACAAAATCTTATCAGTCTTTCTGTTGGGTTTTTTAAGATTTTTTCCTGTCATTTCGAATTGGTAGTTTCGTTAATATCGAGCCAAACACCTCAACTCATACAGAAAATTTTAATATCTAGCTTAGAGAGATTTTTTAAAATGAAAATCATCTATATTTGATAGTCATTTTAGTTTAATTTGTATGTATATACATGTTCTAACCAACAATCCTGATCTTTACATTAGGCAATGTTTAAATTTCAGTTGGTATTAGCATCGGGCATATTTTCACTTGTAGTTTTGCAAAATCTGTTAGCAACTCGGCTTAGATTTTGAGTTCCGAGAATGGGCCGTTTGGGAATCGGCTCAAATTAGGCAATTTATGCAAGTTTATTTCACTGATAATTTAATTGAGTCCTGCATGAACCGATCCAACAGATTTTAAGGACCTCGATATTTTTATAAATTAATTTGTTTTCTATTTTATGAAAATATTTTTTTTTCGAGAAAAAGAGTAATCACAAATTTTTTTATTGTCCTCGTGCTTATAATTTTTTTTACAGGGTTGGTTCTGAAAAAAAAACAGGTACAGTATAGGGAGGGGGGTCTAATAAATATACTTACTCATTTGTAAAATAAACGTATTTTATAATTTATAAATTTTTTGAAGTATTTGTATTGTGCCGGAGAGGAAACGATTCCATTCGTGCTTGCCAAATTTTGCGATCAAAGTTGGAACGAATAAACCTGACCGATAAAAATGAAAAAAACTCATTTGCCGTGTATAATATAATTGGTGGGCTGCACGCCTGGTCAAGCGATATAGATCCCGAATTTCCTGTTTATTAACAAACAAAAAATGACATAATATGCCAATTTTTAGAGTTTGTTCTTTACATTATCATGAAATAAAAAAATAATTTATGTATGTTCCATTTACTATTTATATTGTTAATTCTAGTCTGTAGAATGGTCCGTATGGTAGACCAAATCATTCTGTAATAGATTATCTTTTACCTTTTAAAAATTGAATTTATTTTGCAATTATAAAATCAAATTTAAAAATGATAATTTATCTTATTTATTTTAATGCAATCGAATAATGGTATCCATTATTCAAATTATATTTGACTATTCAAACTTTAAATAAAATTTAAATACCATTTTTTAAGTAAAAATAAATTGATAAGAAATTTAAACAATATATTTTTAATTTTTTATAGCTCAAATGGCATAATGAGGTTAAAAATTTTAAATTTCCGTAAAGATAGAAGAACATCAAACAAATCGTCTGAATAAAATTTTTGATATAATTTGCTTTAAAAATGACAGGACAAATGGCTACAAAACATTAAATGTTTAAAAATTATAGGAATAGAGGGTAAATTCTGGCACATTTCAAAGATATTTTTTCTCGTGTAGACGCTGGCAGGGTTAGGTACGTTACTCAGGGGAAAAATATAATGGTTAAGTTACTCTTGTTATCTCAAAATAGTTAAGGTTACGAAACCGTTATTCAAAACACGGTTACAAGAGCTCTTTTTATTTTTTATCAAGATTAATATATAATTAAATATTGTAATTTTAAGCATTTGGTAAAGGAACTTTAAATAGAACATTATTTAATCTTCTATTTGGCGTATTAATCAAATTAGCAAAAGTAAAAAGGCATTCAAGGAATAGAGGATGGTAGATTTGTATTATAACTAGTATTGTTAAACGACTCGTTAGCCAGAAAAATATTGTCAGCAAAATCTTCAGGCTTGGGTAATATTATTCTGGATGAAATAATGAGTTAGCCGTTTTTAAAAATAGGCTCAAAACGAGCCGTTTAACAACACTAATTTTAACGAATAAAAATTTGTTTGATTATCGGATATTTAGGCAGTAAATTAATTTCAAATGATGGATCAAGAAGATATAAAATTACTTGCATCTCAATATCATTTGAATTTTTAGTAGATTACAAATAATATACATAGACATACTAAATCATCATAATAGCAATTTTCCTCTTCGTAGCTTATAATGTGGTAACAGTGCTAATAATTTTTTTCTGGTTACAAATAATATTGGTACTAAATCACCATAATATCAATTTTTCTTTTTTTGAAGTTTATCCAATGCTTCGGTAATAGGTGCTAAAATCTTAGTGTATTCTTCCAAAAAACCGATTTATTTTTATGACTGTAAGGTCTAATTTGTTTAATAGGCTTTCAAGGTTAGATATTTTAGAAGCAGCATCAAGGCGTCATATAGACTGTTCCATCTAGTAGGGCATGGCGTTATTAAATAATAGTCTTAAACGATTTCCGAAAACTCGGTCTTCTGGCTAAATTCCATAGGTGAATAAATTTTGAATAACGAAATATGAACTTTACGATACTCAAAAAGTTTAACGGTTACAGAACTCTTCATTACATTTTTAAATTGATAGAATTATAGATGCTTTACGTTATTTATAACTTTTTGCCCAACCCTGGATGTACTGATCAAAGCCAATTAATTTTTATTATAGTATAATGAAGCATAATTTCCATTTACATTCACCTAAGTTTAGCCTAAACGTTAAATATTAAAATTATTCATTCAATTTTTAAAAAATATATTAAATTCGGAACAAAAAGTTCAAATTTTTAATGACTTAGGCCCTAATTCTTTTAAAAATGCACTTTTGTGAGCCGGCTAAATTTGAATGTATTACGATATGCTCAAACAAATAAGCTTATCATAGAATCTAAGTTAATTCTTCTAATAGACTAACAGTTTATGCAAATAGTATTTATGATTCAGCATGCAATCATAAATACATTATAAACTTGATTGAGACATATTGACTAAATAAGAAAAGTTTTGTAGTTATAGACTATCTTTCATATATACTATGATGGTATATTCTGTTAAAAATATGTTTTCTTACATCATAACGGTATCTTTATTCCACTTCTTTTTTAACCTTAGATATAGGATGATTTAAAAAAACATAACATCAAATCAATGATTTCATATTTTAAATGAATAACGAAGAATTGTAAACATTTTCAACGTTTAAAAGAAGTTTTTTAAAAAATTCGTTAATATTCTAATTTAATATATAAAAAAATACAACATATTTTTTTAAAAATATTTATTTTGTAAATCTGGTCATGTCTTAATAATAAAAATATTCTAAAATAAATTGATTCGTAATGCTTTATTTCTACGAATTATAAAAAAACTTCTAATAAATTAATTATAATTCTATAATAAACTGAAAATAAATTAGTGATCATTTACAATTTAAAAAAATTACAATTTTATGATTTTATACATTTTTGGTGGGCAAAATGAGAACAATTTATAAAAGATAATAATAGTATCATATATTAGAATTTTAATATAATACGTATATTATCCATGTATTATAAACCTAAATTTAAATCATAATAATTTCCCCAAGACATTCAAAATGAAGCAAGATTTTGACTAATATATTTACACAATTTATGTTATCGTGGTAATGAGTCAACCTGGATGGATTGTTAGCGGAGAATATTTAAATGTTGTGTATTTTATTCTTTTAAAATATCCTAATCACATTCATTTTTCAAACCCTCAATCCACGATTGTTTAATCGTTTAACTTTGTATATTCTAACAATCCAATGTTCGGTAGTAAAAGATTCTTCCATAAAATTAAGCTTTATATTTTTTTCTCCAATTTCGCAGTTCCTAACTCTATCAAATCCAGAAGGTTTGCCTTTATTTATTTATTAAATGATCAAGATGAAATTGTTAAATCAAATTAATCTAAAAATTTTCTCAAATTGATTATTTTATTAATTTTAAATCTGAATATATTTAATTTGCTCTATTTCTACAACCTATATTTCAATAATTAATTTCCTAAATAAATAACCTCACAAATTTAATCAAATAATTTTTTTAGATGCTTATTTGGAAACCATATAAAAACGTCATTCTTAGAATAATAGTATATATAATATATATTACAATTTGAAAATCAGCCCCTTATCTGGTAACGATTTCAGTTTATCAACAAACATGTCATCTACAACATGGCTCAATATCCCATATTTAAGCTAAATATTATCTATCATACTTCCGTTAGACGAAATAACATTTGTAAAATTAGTACACTTTTCCAAAACATGTGATGCGAGAACTGCTGAATTTAGTACAAACTAATAAAAAAGAACAAAAAAACCACATTTCGTTATTTGATCTAGAAAATGCTTCAAATACGGTAAGGTAATTAAAGATATATAAAGCCAGAATATTTATCTAAAATAAGGAGAGGGGAGAGTTTAAGGGATGCACAGAAAAATATAAAATGATTAGACAAAAGAAAGCAGTGTGCCTTTAAATTAGAGATTAAATGTTTAGACTAGAAAAAAATGTTCCAGGATAATGTAAGCCAAAAAACGAGGAAAGGACATTGGATATAAATAAGGTTACGAAGATGGATGTGTTGGGAAAATCAAAAAAGGATCATAATGCAAAAAAATTTCCAACATAAAAGCGATGCTAAGTGGGTTGCTGAGTAAGAGGGCAAGAGAATTATATCGGAAGAGGATAGACGTCTTGAGGTAAAATCCGGGTATTAGAAGAAATTCATAGTCATTCATAGAATGGAAGAGAAAATTTTAATTTAAAATAAAAAAAATTTGAATACCTCCCTCTGTATGAACCGAGCCAAAGTCAAAATACGATAGTTTATACATCAAACTATTAAGCATAATTTTTGAAGCATCCTTATCTATTTTATATTCGCCCTGGGGTGTGAAATAATCAGCTTCTTTAATGTGGCTACCCGTCTCTGTGCTACCTCCTATACGAACCATCCACAAAAATTTGTTGATATCTGATTTCATTTATTTATTTTGATTTTAAATCATGTTACATAAATGTTAAATTCAATATGACCTAATTATTATTTTATAAAAAAAAAACATGTTAAAATATAGTACAAAGGCAGTGACTAGAAATTTTAGCTTATATAAGCACTAGGAGAGGACATTTATAAAAAAATCATATTCTCTGTAATATTTTTCTCATGCATCGATAATACTAAATTCTTCATTTTTAAAAATATGATTCGTGAATACGCAGCTTAGAATATGAATTAATTAATCTTTATGGAACATATTTGAAATCGAATGGCCTTGTCACTTAAAAAAAAATTTATAAGGTTTTTCGGCCCATTTTTAGCAGGCCCAGCTTAATTATGTTTTATGAAAGTTGTCCAGTGGTCCGTAACTATTTTTTATTGAGGAAAACGACATCAATTTGCCAACATAGCTTTATAAACATTTCCAAAATTTAGGCCCAGAATACATAAAAACATTTTGTATGGCATGGCCTGAAAATATTTTTTTCCGGCCTAGGCTGCGTGACCATTAATAATTAAACTAACAAGTAAAAATGTGTAATAAATAACTGAAAAATTAGATGATTAAGTAATATTAACTCGTTTTTAAATTACGATTCATTTTAAATATGTAAATAAGAGATGTTAACCCTCGTTCTAACAAAAGGGTTCAGGTTCAATAGAAATCCCTGAAACAGGTTTAGAGTCCAGAAAAATAAAGATTATAAAATTTAGTTAAAATAACAGGAACGCCAGCTTTTTTAAAATTTATTTTATTTAGCATTCACCATAAAAATAACATATCACCATAATTATAGTTAGAATAATACAATACGATTTAATAAATAATATTATATTTGCAATTTAAAAATTTTATTTAAGCAAATTAATCTTTTAAAATATCATCATTAAGAGAATAAATTTAAAAAAAACAATTTCTTAACCCAAAATCTTAAAAGGGGGTTCGGTAAAATCTCGAGGGTTATAAGGGTTTGGGTTCTCGGTCCTGATTAAATACCTAAAATGTTTTTTTAAACATTTTAGGATCCAGAAATTTTTCTTGGGAGTCCTTCTCCAAATGCCCTCTTGTAAATGAGACCTTGAATAAGTGATGTTATTAAGAGTACCCCGTCTGTGCTATTAACACCAATCATTTATGCAACCTAAATAAAAGGAAATACATGCTTAAATTATATCTAACCGTGCTTTTGCCTCTCCACAGAGAAAATTGAGTTTAAAAAGTTAGTCAATTTTTTTAAACAAAATGGCGAATTCAAAAATATTTAAACCATCAGAAGAATATCCCACGAGCCCCCCAAATATTACCAGTACATAATCGACGTCCAATTCTTTCATTATTGCATAGGCCTTTTCTTCGCTTGAAGACATCGCCTAAGATAATGTGATAAATAAAAATGGATAAATAAAAATGAATATCTATTTTATTCTTTGAACAATTGTAATTTTGACATTACAATCTGATTTTTAAAAAGTGGTTTAATATAATATAAAAATAAATTGTCAATTAACCTGGCCAACTCGAGAGATATGGGTATTATTCCAAGTGTTGTTATCAACCAAAACCGTTCTATTAGCGATAGAGGTAATTTGATAACCGTAATCCCACCAAGACATTATTTTAGCATCCTTTATAAATATATCATTTTAAATTTGAAGCCAATTGACTTTTATCTCACAATTGTTAGCATTAAAATATTAAGTTTGAACCAACAATACTTTAAATTTATTTAGTTAGTACCCAGGTTTAACATTTATTTTTCTAAGATGTATAATAAGAATAATACTCACTGGTTTAGTATTTTGCCTCAGCCACCAATAAGATTCCCTAAAATCGTCAAATATTATATTATCCCCACTGGATGTCCTCGCACCTATAATAAAATAAGATTAATTAAGAAATAATATATTCATATATATATATTCGATTTGTAATATTTAATTATTACCTAAAACGATTGAAGGGCTTGAGTACGCTTCTGAAGTGACCCAAGTGCAATGATAAGTGTATAAGATAAAAAAACCGGTCAGAATGCCTACTAACCCCATTGATATCTAATTTTCAATTAGGAAATAAATTATTGAATAAATATCCTCAATAAATTTTGCGATAATTAAATGTTATTAACAAAACTATTATGACCAATGATTGTAGATATTGGAAATTGGATAAAAAATGAAAAGACTCTTTATTTTAAAAGATCATTTCGTGTCAAATCGACCAAAAAAGGCATTTTTGGCTGATTTTCAATACCAATAAAAATAAGTATAAGGATTAAAATGATTTGTGGTTAGCAAAGTTACGAAATTTGAACTCGCTAGCTGTTATATTATAGGAGATATTAAGGTTTTAATTTCTAGAGGCAGGTATGGTATCATGGCAAATACCTGTATTTAAAATACTAATGGGAATACTTGTATTTAAAATATTGTCTATATGAATGATTTCGCAGTTTAAATTAGAAGTCTGCAATAGATGGGTTTTTAGTCCGCCAGCCCACAGTGAGGAGGGAGAGGCGTTGTCGGGTTTTTAAATATTTACAACATGGGGGGGGGGGGGGGCTGGTTAAAAAATTTTAAAGTAATGAGCTGGTGAATCTCTCAGTAGAAATGAGCAGAACAGACTTCAATTTATTAAAAATAATAGTTTTATATCATAATATTGCATATATAAATATATTCAAATAAATATATAAGGATGCAAACCAGGCATTAAAATAATAATTAAACATTAAGCGGGCGGGTCAAGAAAAATAGATAAATGGGCGGGCGGATGGGTAAATTTTTTTAAAATTATGAGCAGACGGGTTAAATAATTCACAACAAAGAGTGGCCGGGCTTTTTGGCTAAAAACCTACCTATTGCAGACCTCTAGTTTAAATACAAAAATAAATAATAGGGCTGTCTGATTTAATTTTTGTAGATATTCTTTGGCGCAAATAATGGAAGGTTTTATAAAAAATGGAGGAAATTTTTTTGCAAAAATTGGAAATTTTGGTTATTTTAAAAATTACATTTTAAACTTTGTAATAAGATGACTACCATGCATAAAAAACAATTTAATTATTATCCCCCCCCTAATTATCAATCCTTCACTTAATCGTATATACCAAATTTAATTTTGTTTTTAATTAATAAGTAAAATCTGAAAAAAGTAAAATGGCGCTTTTTCGCACCTTCAACCCTTAATATTTCTAGTAATATTAAAGTTAGCGAGTTCAAATTTTGTTTATGACCTATTAAAACTGTAATCGGCATTGGATTGATATGAAATAACCTAAAAATCAGGGATGTGAACCCGGACCCTGAACCCTCGTATTTTGGCTGAACCCGGACCCTTTTAAAAAGTGGAGGGTCCAAGGGTTCAGGGTGTTAAATAAATTTTTAAAAAAATAATATAAAATTTTTATATTTTTATTAATTTTTTTCGTGGAATCTCCCTAAAAAATAGTCACTTTAAAACTATAATTGATAAAGCAAGGGATGTTGTAAAATATTAATAAACTCCCAAAATTGTTAGAATATTAAAATCCATGAAAAGGCAAATGGCAATTTTAGATTGCACAACACGTTGGTCCTCTATATGTATGATGCTAGAGCGATTATTAAGTTTGAAAGATTTCTGTAATGATTTAATCATAGGAGCATGTGAAATCATTTTGTCAGAAGATGTTTGGAATCAAGTAAAAGAGCTTACTAGTGTGCTGGTTCCTTTAAAAATAACAATTATGTTTATCGGATTTTTATGGCATATGGTTAAGATGTCGATTAGAGTTAGGGAGATTAACAAGTTCTTTTTCAAATGAAGTATTAGAAAATACGAAAATAAGAGAGCAACAATATTTACAAAATAGTGTTGTATATGCTTCGATATATTTAGACCTGCGATATCAGGTTTTATTAAGTAGTGAGCAAAAACAAATGGCTATAGACCATCTTGAAGATTTATGGCATACCCAAAACTCTATTATTTACAATATATAGGAGGTTACAACAATATCTACTGGTTGTAGCGATAACAATGATAATGATAACGATATTGATGAACTGGAAATTTTACTATTAGATAGAGAAAAAAAATTTAAATTATCATCTGATAGAAAGGAGCAAAAAATATCTATTGTATCTTTAATAGAAAAGTTCTCGGAAGTTATGAGAATAAATAGAGATGCAAACATTTTAAAATTCTGGGAGGAACAATATATCCAGAATTATATACCTTGTCTAGAATCGTCATGGCTGTACCGGCGACACAAGTACAATAATTTATGTATTATAAAAAATGGCTATCTATTTTAGGTAAGCGTAGAACGTGGATTTTCATCGTTGAAATATATTTTATCTAATTTACGTGTAAATCTGAAGGATGATATTTTAGAAGATATCATGATTGTGCGATTGAATAAAATATTTAAAATATAAATTATCTCATTTCGAATTATAAATGTGTATATATTGAAGTATAATAAAAAGTGAATGAAAAAAAGTCTTATTTTGAGTCATTATTTTTATGTTTCCTCTGAACCCGAACCCTGGACCCGGGTCCTTTTTAAATTTATTACCGGACCCGAACCCGGACCCTTTTTTTTGTCGAAGGGTTCACATCCCTGCTAAAAATATTTTAAAAAAACCTCTTTCTTAAAGGGATAGTTGATTTCACTCATTAGTGGTTTCTTGGAAATATTATGCCTGTGTTGGGATGTAGGTAGAGTCCCATTACTTATCGAATTGTGAGAAACTGTAGAAGTTATCGTTTTTGACGAAGGTTTTGATCCAATATCGTCTAGGAAATTAAGTCCTAAATCTGACCACAAATCAAGATTTTTGATGTAGACCCTTAGGACAGAACTCGCCCCTATAGCACCGATTATACACATAGCTGGTGCGAGAACGAGCATTAGACGAACCATTACACCCTTTATATAGTAAATATTGTAATATATCATATTCTAAAAAAAATCTTTTACTTTTGTATCATTTAATTCTTTTATCAAATTTTAATAAGTATAATCAAAGTTTTTAATATGGGCACCACAAAATAAAGATTTACAAAATACGGTATGAAGTCTGGGCCGGAAACCTATTTAAATATCATAACAGGCCGGGTCAGTTAAAAAATTTAAAGGGCCTAATAATTAGCGCATATAGGGTTGGCTTGGGCAATTTACACAAAATGAGGCAAAGCCTCATGAATCTCTGACTTTCGTAAAGTTTTAATAGGCCAGCCTGGAAATTAAAATTTTAAAATATATTTTTCTAATTTCACGCTAATATTTTGATTAATACTATATTAAATAAATAACATGCTTATTTCTTTATATTTTACGAGCTGTGTAACTAAAATACTAAATCCGACGCATATGGGAGACACGCTCTCCACTGTATATTTATATCAAAAATCAGCCGACATGATAAATAAATGTAATAATAGCTTCTTTTTTAAATAAAGCCAATTTTTCCTGTATTTTAGAACCTACATCCTTTTCAGATAAAAAACGCCCTGACGGCAAAACCGTCGTACCTTTTTTCATGGGAAAGCCTTTAATGTGGGATTTTACCTGTATTAATTTCATGGCTCCATCTAATAATTCCCATGATCGCCTTAACAGAGCCGAATCTCTAAAAAATATAAAATACTCGCACCTAATGTGTGATAACCACTTTGTTCCAATAGCAGCTACATTAACCTGCTCTTTTGGACAAGCGGCTTTATATCTATTCTAAACAATATCCAAATCAATAAAAAAATCATAACTTTCTCCATTTTACAAACTCAAGCAGAAAATCGCCGTATCTATAATTAGATCTAATTATCAAATATTTAAAACATCATGGCCCGACCTCGCCATTTGATATTTCTTTTTTTAAAGGTTTTTTTCTTCTTTTTATAAAAATATACATTTGTATTTTTTTTTAACTTAAATTGATATATGACATATTTTATTATATTCTCTATATTTTAATGTTAATTTTTAAATAATTATATTTATCATATTTGTATATGAATTTTAATAAAAAATTGAATTTTAAAAAAAAATATATAATAAATTTACAAAATATTAAGCAGGTTATTTATGATATGATCCAATAGATATCAAAAATATTTGATTTAAAAAACGGTTGTAGAAAAAAATAGACAGTCATAGAAGAGAGATATAGGGGCCTTAATTGACATTGGGGAAAAATTATAGAAATTAAAAATGTAATGACCGGAAAATTAGAATTTTTAAAAAAATTAATAGACTAGGGAGGACTCTTTATAAAAAACTTAATGTGCCAGGCCAGGTAAATGTTTAAAAAATCATAACGGGTGGGGCTGAGCAAAAGATTTAGTGGGTAGGGCAACTTGTTCAAATTCTTAATGGGCCATAGCGGGCATCCAGGCTATGCTAACCTATATCAGAAGCCATAAACCCTTTTAAAAATATAGCGAATTTACAAGAGCATTGACTAAAAAAAGGATTCTGGACCCTAGTTTGAGTTCAAAAAATTGAAAATTGTTTTGTCTCAGGAATTTTTTAAATTTTTTCTAATGACCTTTATTCTAAAATGGATCTAAATCAGACCTGGTTCAAATACCCAGGGATTGAATGGTTTCCAAAAATGGAGCTTGGTTCATTTTCGAAAATGTCCAACAGAAAATAATTTTCAAACCTAGCTAAAAAAAACTATCGCTTATGGAGTGGAACCGAAACTGCATTTTAAAAAAATATTCAAAACCAAAAACAGATTATTTTGGTCCAGGCCCCGAAAAATGATAGCACAGTGGGAAAACAACTATATTTTAGAATGTGTCAAATATAAATAAAATATCATTTATAATTATTACCGTGAAATAGACGCTTGTGATAACATACAGGATGATAAAAACGTTTCCATTATTCAAATTTTTGAAGCAGTAATACAATCCCGCTAAAATTGTGATATTTAATTTTAAAATAATTTAAATACTATATTATAAGTAAACCTTGATCATCGAGGGATCTCTATTGGCATTAGAGATCTGCAAAGTTAGGCCCGGCCCAAGTCCGGCCCGAACGGGCTTCGGACCGGGCTCGGGTCTAATTCTATTTAAAATAATCGTGTTCGGGCCGGGCCTAATATTTTTAAATAAATATCTGCCGGGTCGGGTCGGACTTTGGAATTTTTTTTAAACATATCTAAATTTATCAATTTTATATTGAATTTTTTATGTAAAATAATAATATTTGATTTTATTTATTGAAACTAAACGATATATAACATATGTCTTTTATTTTGAGTAATTATAAAAATGAATATCTATATTTAAATAAATTCGGGCCAGGCCGGGTCGGTAAATTTTTTAAAAATTACGGGTTCGGGCCGGGCCGGCAAACATTTTTAAAAAATTTCGAGTTCGGGCCGGCAAAAGTTTTTTAAAAAAATTTTGGGCCGGGCCAGGCTTGAAAAATTAGACCCGATGCAGATCACTAATTGTCATCGTGCAAAAAGATTATAACCCCATTTCAAGGAAAATAATATTGGAGGGGGGGACAACGCCCTAAAGAATATGATTTTAGAACCAACAGGGGCAAAATTGGAAAAAATACCATTACGTGAAGAAGTTACCACACATTATTTCGATTTAAATTATTATACCGGGCATCAAAAACATTAGTATTTGGAGATCAAAGTAGAAAGAAGACCAGGCAGTGGGCTGATGTTCCGACACGGATGCTATGATAGGAATATTGTTTTTGGCGTACGAGGGATCTAACAATGTATAAAATCTTCCAGTCCAAGGAGCGATTTCTGTTTTATTTTTATCATGTGATAAATGTAAAATAAATGTCTTTAAATATTAATAAATATTTTGCATATAATAAAGAGCCATAAATGGTCTAATTTTAATTTTTCAAAAACACATGGACTCAGAGGACAAAAATAATTTATTTTCGGACTGGACTGAAGCGAGAATAACAGGTTTTATGGAGGACTCTAATATAAAATACATAAATATTAAACTACAAACTTCCTGTTATGGTCAAAATCAGAATAGCACTTCCAATGATTGTCATTATAACGGTCAAAGTGGTCCTGATCAAAGATTGAAATGTTTCTTTCGAAAGTTTAGAACGAGTGTAATTGACAAATTCGTATATTTGACATATTCCAAATATCCCAAAGGCCTAATACGTCAAAGCACGTGATAGAGGAAAATATAATGCAAGTTTAAAAGAAAGATATTATAAAATGTTAAATAAAAATTGGATATACAATTCTTAAATATTAATGAAATTATATATGATATCAAATGAGACTATTTTTTCAAAATAAATCTTTTCAATTTAAAAAAAAATTAATTGGGCAACGAAATAAAAGTATATGAGGGTTTATATGGCTTGATTTCTAAAAAGAATACTTCAAAAAATAACATATTTGTCACGTGATTTAAGGGTTTTAACTCCGTTAGTCATTTTTTTAAAAAACGTTATTATAAACGATTTTTAGCACAATTTTGACCGAAAGTGGATGAAGTTAATGCCTTACAATAATATACACTAAAATCATAATAAAATAAGTAAAAACGGCTAAATGTTCGCTGGATTGAATGGGTTGAAATCCTACAAACGGAATTTGCATCGAAAACAGTGTTCCCATACTGTAAAACTTGATATTTTTATTTTTAAATTAAAAGAAAATATATTATTTCTAAAATATGGTGATTATTATAAAATATAGATTTAAACAACATTTTTAACAAATCATACCTAATCACAAAAATATATACTGTATTATTGTTCACATTTAGATAAATATTAGGATAAAAAAATAAATTTTCTTTTATTTTAAAGTTCATACTTTCCATATATATTAAAAATTTATAGAGTAGCTTGTCATTTTTAAAAGTCATGAATAATGAAAAATTAACATGTGTTAATTATAACTAGAACCCTCTAATGCTGAAGAAGAGGGGAGTGAATCAATTGCATTAAAATCTTAGAAGGGTACATCATATGGATTCATTCTTAGTCAACATATATAGTTAATATCCCTTTTATAATTGAATTCATTAGTCATGAGGAGGGTCCCTAAATTATTAGCTTAGGATCCTACTGTTTATAGTATTATTTATGTGAAAAGAATTAAAAAATTTATATAATCTATTTGTTACAATAAGTTAAAATTTAAGCTCTTTCAAGTTTAAAAAAAAATCTATAAAAAAATCATACCACAGTATATGATACATAAACTTTGTGATCAAAACGACCTATAATCATAAGTACTAATACATGGATTGGGATAAGATTTATCAAGAATACATAACCACCCCAAGAGGAAACCTGAAATTTTAATTAAAATAAAAATGGTTTATTAAATAGTAAACATATTATGGTACAGATAAATATTTAAAATTTTGGTTAATTTATATAACATAACATTTAATAAATTTGGTATAATATTAATTACCATATAAAAATATGCTAAAGCACAGAGAGCAGAATGAAAAATTGACCCAGTGTGAGAGCAACTTTTTATCCATAGGTAATACGTTAAAAGCATACAAAAAATTGCAATGCCTTCATTATCATAGGAACCTGCAACAGAACGAGAAATATATCCTGGAACCATACTCATCAAACAAGCTGCTAGCAGACCTGCACTGCTATCCTATATCAAAAAAAATTGACATACAAAGGAATAATTGCATCGAGTAATATATTCTCAATGTTTTAAGATAAAAGATATTGATGAATTTGATAATAATGCATATATTGTAACTAACTTTTAGTTCTTTTGTCAAAGCATAAGTAACTAAAGTTGTCAAGCTTGAAAATAATGGGGCTAAAAATACACAAACATCTTTGATATCAATTGAGATATGAAAAAAATTCATTGTATGATATAATATGCTAGAGGTTATCATGAGCCCTAAATTAAACTATAAAAATTTAATTCAAAAAGTAAGAATCAACCTGGATAAATAGTACCACCAATAATTCTTCCTAATGGATACCACGCCATGTCATCAAACCAATTATGAAAATTATAATAACCCTCTTTTGTTAAAAATTGAGTGGTTCTATAATTAAAATATGGATCAAATTCATGTATTACACTTTCAAATCTCAACACAGAAAAAAGTCGAATGGCAAAAGCTTAAAATTTAACTATAATATATTAATAACTAGCTAAAATACCTAAAATCATAGCTAATGTTAATATAGCAAATTTCAAAGCTATCTCTTGCTTTTCAGAAGAAAGCCGAAATACATAAGAGAGTTTTCTTTTTATATCAATCACTAAATAAAATATATAAAACCCAATTTAAGAACGTACACACTTACTAGTTTTGATAATTTACAATTGATAATATCGTATTTATGTTAAACGTGTTGCCTGAATTTAGAAAACATGTTAGCGCATCGTAATGATACACTAGGATAATTAAATATTAGTTAAATAATATACACTTATAATATTAAATTCGAATATATTCTTTATTCTTAGAAGCATATATATAAAACATGAATAGATTTGATATTTATAAATCGAATTTACGATCTACATCAAAGAGTAACCAGTTTGTAGAATACGAAATACCAATAGAAATACCAACCAATTGGATAATATAATTGATTATACACGATGTTCTTAGATCAATAAATAATAAACAATAATCACTGTTAATTTTTGAAAAGGCAGTAAAATCAAAATTTCCGAAATATCGCATATATTTTAGTAGAATCTAGTTTACAAAGTTATGGGCTTATATCTTTTTTAATTTTATTCTCCAAAATATAGCATATTAAAAACTCTTTGAAAAACGAAAACAACTACCTATGCTTATTTTACAATCTATTACTTATAAATCAGTGTTTTATGTTGTTAAATGGCTCGATAAGCAGATTTTTCAGACGAAAGGTGTAGATCTCCTTTAGTAAAATCGTCGGGCTTAAAGAATATTTTTCTGGCTAAGATATTGAGTTAATTATTTTGGAAAATAAGCTCTAATCAAGCTCTTTAACACTACCTAGTGAAAAAAATTTAAGTGGTTCATAAATTATGTTTTCAGATTTTTGTTTGTACAGGCTTAGAATTTAGGTGTTACTTTATATTTTTATATTTAATCCAATGATTATCATTGATTTAATCATTTTAAAATATTTCCATCTATCTTAAAATTTGGATGAGATTCAAGGGAATTTACATAATTGTTTCATTACTAGTATTGTTAAACGGCTTGATTTAACCCTTCAATACTCCGGTGAAAAAAATAACGTTAGTACTCGGGTGGGGTTTAATAGACCCCAATTTCAAATGTATATATCTCCAGTTATATTCATTATTTTCATTTGATATTTGGATATAAGATAGATGTAACCTTAAGTTTGATAAAATATTTAAATATTTATATTTTTTAAGCCTAGATTAAAGATGATGAGGATAATTATAATATGTGCCAAAAAAAATTTAAAAAAGCTTACTTTTTTTAAATTTCAAATATAAAATTAAAAAAATAACTTATCCATCATATAATCATGATAATTCATAATATGGATGTTTATTCTTCAATATAAAAACAAATTACTGTAAAAAAAATATAGAACATTGAAATATCCTAAATTTAACATGCAAAACATTTAATACATAAAAAATTAATATGTTCTAAACATAAATTTATTTTACATATTAAAAATATTTTGTTTTTTATAAGGAGTATAGTTTAATGCCATATTCTGATGGTTTATTTGGCATGTATTGCCTGAGTGGGCATTTACCACGAAATGCTAGAAGCATTTCATCTAGGGGTGTCTATTCTGATATTGTATATGATCTGTAGCAGTTATCAACAAATTCTTGAAAAATATTTCTAATGCGAATTGCTTTGTCTATCATTTTTCTCTCTTCTCATATTAATATGTCATCAAATCTTATTGTATAAATTAAAAATCTGAATCTTTTGAGTGTCATTGTTGCTCTAAATATCTCAGTTCCAAATTCATCAGATTTTGATAAATCTGGCATATTTTGAATATTTTATTTGAAAATCAGCTAAATAAAGAATTCCCAACAATGCCTTGAATTCTATTACATCAACCTCTTTTGTAGAACTTTCATATTGATCAGTGTAGTTTTTACTTATATATGAACAAATCAAAACATTTTTCTGGGCATGTCAACTTTTTCCCCATATTCTTTCACTCCTGGCATATGAAATATTAAATTTTGTTGACGTGTTCTTACTCTTTGATTTACAATCCTTTTTCCATTGAGTCACTTTATTTTTAGCTAATTTTACAGAGAAATAGGTATGATAAATAATTCCATATTTATCTAAATAATATTTAAGTTTATTGTCTGTTTCAACTAGCATATCTTCTTATTCATCTAATTTAGATTGTGTATCATGATCAATAACGTAAATAAAATCTTCTTCCTCACAATCAATTACATAATCACCTCAAATTAAATGATATTATATCTTAAATAATTTTACATTTACTATTAGAATCTGCAAAAATCATAGTATATGATAAAAAAAATTAATTTGAGAAATGAGCCAGATGGTAAATAAAATAACTCCACCAAAAAAAATGTTTAAGTTTTCTTTTCCATATATCTCAATCAAAATAAAAGATATTTAAATTTTGTTTTAATAAATTTTATAATATAGTAGTATATATTTATAATTTTAAAAATTTTCTTAAAAAATTACAAATTTACTTTGGTGGGGTCTCACAAAAAACAATCAATCACACAATGCTTATATGTTAAAAACCACTCAACACAAATATATGAAATTTGGAATATAGATTTAAAGATATATTTGATAAAGTTACTGAAGAATCCAGATCATAATATTTAACTGTTTTTATGTAATATCATTTCTAGCATGCCTGAGGTTTTATATACCTCACCAGAGTATTTGAAAGATTAAGCTGATTTGTTAAAACGGCTGACTAAATATTCAAGCCAAAAATATTTGCCTAACCCACGAGATTTCTAGAATAGATGTGCAAACCTTTGTGCCATCTGTAAGCAAAATCTTCAGGCTTTGTGTAATATTTTTCTGGATATAATATTGTTAACAGTTTGTAAAAATCGGCTCAAATCGAGCCACAACATTATTTATTACTTTCTTTTTCACTAGCAGGAATATCAATCATCATAGAAATTAAAAAAATATTATTATTAATTTTAAACAGTTTCAATTTAGTATATCTGTGATTTCTATTTATTTCTTGTTATAACCCTTAAATTTAATTTATTTAATATAAATTTTTATTATATATCCTAAATATACATTATCGTTTTATTTTGTTTTAAAATTATATTAACACATTAGTTCATATATTAAAATTTTGATGTATATAGTTTATAATGGAATTAAAAATAACATTAAGTTAACATATTAAAAATATGATTTCATGGGGATTTTTGAAATGTAATGTAAATCATTTAATAAATTTATATCATAAAATTTAAATTTAAAAAATGCAATTTTTATGAAAATGATTAAATAAACAATTATTAATAAATACGCTTCTAAATCAGAGTTGTACAAAAAATATCCAAAGAAAAAATTTGAGAAAGATCTTTGAAGATCGTAAAATTTGAAGATTTTTTAATAAAAAAATTTTGAAAAACGAACTTGAAAGATCTAGATCTTTTTGCATTTAAAAATATTTTTGATCAACGATATTCATATCATAAGATGTTATATAATATTTTATTGGTAAAAGGGTTAGTAAACATGTTAAATTAAAATCAAAATTCAACGAAGATGTACCACAAAGTGACAATTGTCATAATCTATCTTTTAACTTTTTTGACGCAAATGGGTAAAAATTAATATTATTAAAAAAAAATGTTAAATTAAAATTTCAATGAAAATGTAATGTAACACAGAAAAGTGACAATTGTCATAATCGTTATTATTCAACTTTTTTTGTCGCTAAAGAGTAAAAATATTTATTGTAAACTGTTATTTTATTATTAATAATTATATTGCCTATTTATATATTTCCGTAAAATATATATATTTTTAAAAATTATTTTGTTTAATATTTATCGTATTTATAAGTCACCTTATTATAGATATCACGTGTAGAACTCGTGATTTCTTGGTCCCAAAAATGTATAAAAGGGGCGAGATTTTATAATAATAACAAATTTTTGTTTTTTATAGATATATATATTTTGTTAGCTAATAAAATTTGGTTGAAAATTTATAAATTTTAGTTTTCGATTTTGTTACATGTTCGCTTAATTTGTTGTAATTCATTGTATATTTAAATACTTCTTAAATATTTCGCTTATTCAATTTGTTGAATATTTAAATATGTTCATATTATCTTTTTATTCAATGAAATTAACATGTATATAAATACATCTCAAGGCGATTAAATATATATATATTGATATATATTTTCATTTTCTTTTACCACTTGCTGTTTTTTGTATAACCATATTATAAAATAAAAAGACATTACATCAACGTCAATATTCAAATAATATAATCAATAAAGACTATTGAATTTAATAAAGTGTCTTTTTTCTGTCTAATTTTTATCCTGTGCGACCATCCTAATAACCGTTATAGATTAAATCTTCAAGCCTATAATTTCCCTTTTTTGTTTTTATCAGATTTGATTTGTTAATTTGTGTGAGTTGTAGAATAGAGTTTTACTTGATGAGTTATATTATATAATAGCTAATATTTGTGGAGGTATTTAAAAAATGTAGTGATAATTTTTAAAAAAAAAAGATATAAAATTTGGTGTCAAAAAAAAGTATTGTTGAGATTTTTGAGTGGTTAATGTTTATTAATTATTGGAAATAAGGTGTGTACAAATGCTGTGTTAAATTAAATTGAAGTGAACGAAATAAATTATGAGAGCGCAAAGCGCGATAGTAAAGTACAATTAGGGGGAAGATTTTTATTAATAGAGAAATATATAAATGTGAGAGTGAAATATAAATTGGAGAAATTTAGAGTAATGATGAAAGTTAGTGCTCAAAGGTGAAAGAGATATTAATTTTTATTATTATTTTACACTTAAAAAGAAATTAAAATTTTCCATATTTAAATAAATTTGGGTCGATCCTGGCGAAAAATAATCGTATTTTTTATTTCGGGTCGTGCTTTTCGGGTTAAACAAAAATGTTTTGTTCAAGGCTGGGCAGAACAAATTTTTCTAAAAGAAGTTTATGACAGACCGGATTTAAAAATTAGATCTTATGCAGAGCACTTAATGACATAATAAGGGCTCAATAAAAGTATGTGTTTTCAGTACAATTGTAAAATCTTATTAGGTTAAGCAGATTTTCTAACGTTAAAGCTATCTTAAGAGTAGCTC